GCTGCCCAGATAGCCGCTGAAATGAGAAGGTACAGAATAGAAGTGTTGGGAATCTGCGAGAGCAGATGGAACGGAACTGGAAGGTGCCAACTACCTACTGGAGAGACAGTAATCTATTCCGGCCACCTAGAGGACAACCATGAGCACACCGAGGGAGTGGCCATCATGATGTCACCAACAGCAGCCAAAGCTCTCATGCAGTGGGAACCAATCTCCTCCAGGATAATGACAGCCAGGTTCAACTCAAAAGGAAGGAAAGTTACAGTCATTCAATTTTATGCGCCTACAAACGTCTCAGAACAAGAGAAGAAGGAGGCGTTCTACAGACAACTACAAGCAATAATGGACAACGTCCCAAATGGCGATATCAAAATCCTGATGGGCGACATGAATGCGAAGCTGGGAGGAGACAACACAGGAAGAGAACTCACCATGGGTCGTGAGGCCCTCGGTGAAATGAACGACAATGGTGAACTCTTCTCAGACTTCTGCGCCTTCAATGATTTGGTGATTGGCGGTAGTGTGTTCAAACACAAGGATATACACAAGACGACATGGATTTCACCAGATGGAAACACCAAGAACCAAATAGACTTCATCTCAATTTCAAGAAAGTGGAGACGGAGCCTACTGGACACAAGGTCAAGGAGAGGAGCAGATGTGGGTTCAGACCACTATCTAGTACAAGGGACTTTCAAGGTGAAACTAAAAGCCTCGAGGATAGCTGGGGATAGGCCACAATGCAAGTTCAACACTCAATTACTGAAGGACACAACCACAAAAGACACTTCACTGCAACTGTCAGAGCAAAGCAGGAAACACTACGCGACATCACTGAAGAATCATGCGTGGAAGAACATTGGAAGTCTCTGAAGGCGATTCTCAACGAAACGTGTTCAACGGTTCTAGGAAGAAAGAAGAGACAAGACAAGGAATGGCTCTCAACGGACACTTGGAAATTAATAGAAGAGAGGAGAATGGTGAAAGAGAAAATGATTCAATGCAAGGACGGACAGGAGAAGGAGACGATGAGCTCAACTTACAAAGCACTGGACAAAGAAGTGAAGAAGAGTGCTAGGAAGGACAAAAGACGATTCTACGACAACCTCGCCACTGAAGCTGAGAAGGCAGCAGGCAAAAGGGACCTGAGGACACTATATCAGATAACCAAATCTCTATCCGGGAAGAGATCAACACAAGCGAAACCTATAAAAGACAGCCAAGGGAACCCAATTACCAAGGAAGAAAAACAGATTAAACAATGGGCGGATCACTTCAAAGGACTCTTGAACCGACCACCACCTGCAACCCGTCCAGAAATACCAACAACAGCGCGCACACAACTGCAAGTTGACACCAATCCTCCAACGAGAGCTGAAGTCTTGAATGCAATCAAACTTCTGAAAGCTGGAAAAGCAGCCGGACCAGATGGAATACCCCCTGAAGCACTGAAAGCGGACCCAGAGACTACAGCAGACATGCTGACTCCATTATTGCAAAAGGTCTGGAAGGAGGGAAAGGTGCCTACTGACTGGAGGAAAGGTTACCTCGTGAAACTACCAAAGAAGGGCGACTTACGCCTCACTCTGCAAGAACTGGCGAGGAATCATGCTCCTGTCGACGCCAAGTAAAATCCTGAGTCGCATCATCCTGGAGAGATTAAAGGACGCACTGGAGACAGAACTCCGACCAGAACAAGCTGGATTCAGGAAAGGCAAATCATGTACTGACCAAATTGCAACTCTACGCATCATCATCACAGAACAAAGCATGGAATGGCAATCAAACCTCTACCTCAACTTTATAGACTTTGAGAAGGCCTTCGACAGCGTTGACCGTGAAGTAATTTGGAAATTACTCGAGTACTACGGCGTACCCCAAATATTCATCAACCTTATTCAACAGCTGTACGACAACGGCACGTGTCAAGTGATCCACAACGGAAAACTCAGCGAGGCGTTTGGAGTAAACACAGGAGTCAGACAAGGGTGCTTATTATCACCAATGATATTCCTAATTGTGGTGGACTGGATTATGCGTCAGACAGTGGGAAACGAGAAGACAGGAATATCCTGGACCGACGTGAAGAACCTAGAAGACCTGGATTTCGCGCGTGGATGATTTATGTTTGATGTCACACACAATCGAAGACTTACAAGCGAAAACCGACAAACTGGTCGAAGAAGCAGCAAAGACAGGACTCCAGGTAAACATAGACAAGACGGAGGTTATGAAAATAACCAACCAACAACAGCAACAACATCCAACGTCAATCACCATCAACGGGAGGGATTTGAAAGAGGTTACTTCATTCACTTATCTAGGGAGCATTGTCTCAACTACAGGCAGGGAACGGACGAGGATGTCAAATCGAGCGAGAATCGGGAAGGCGAGAAACACATTCATCAGCCTGAAATCAATCTGGAAATCTTCGTCACTCAGCATCACCAACAAAATTCGGATTTTCAATACAAACGTAAAGTCAGTTCTTCTATACGGATCAGAAACTTGGCGGGTCACAAAGAATATTTCCAAAAGGCTGCAGACCTTTATTAACAACTGTCTTCGCTCAATACTGAAGATCAGATGGCCGGAAAGAATCACCAACAAGGAATTATGGGAACAAACAAAGCAAGAACCAATCGCCAACCAACAAATATGCAGGAGAAAGTGGAGATGGATCGGACACTCGCTGAGGAGACCGCTGGGTGACATCGCGAGCGCGTCATACCATTGCTCGAGTGGAACCGGAAAGGGAAGCGGCGAGTCGGTCGTCAGTGTAAGGGTTACATGGAGGAGATCGTGTGAAGAGTTGAAAGAGTATGGACTAACATGGATGCAGGTGAAAAGTACAGCAGAAAACAGAAGAAAATGGAGACGTGGAGCTGAAGCCCTATGTTCCACTAGGAACCCAAGGGAGCAATAATAATATAATAATAACCTTGGCTTTAACCCTGTCTTTGCATACTATGAATGTGTCATTTATATACTGTAGGTTCGTTCTCCATATAAAGATTTGTAGAGGAGTGTTTATTTTCTTCATTGGAGGAACATTTCAAAATTAAAACCTCACATTTGCATAAATAAACCAGCTACTTTGGATGTGTTGAAATCACTTTTGAGGACCACTATATGCATGATTAAAATGTGATTGAAATACCATTTTGTAAAGATGAATCAAATTAGAAGTAGGAGCTTGGAAGAAGGCACATTATTATTATACAGAAAAGAAAGTACCATTTCAATTTTTCAACATGGAACTGTAGCCACTAAGTTACATAAAATTTATAATACAAAAGATTAGGACGCCTTTTATTACTTCCCTTTTATTATAAAGGCGGAACACTTAAGTATTGATATATAAGTACATCAGAAAATGTCAGTAAAGAACAAAAGTCACTGTCATTAATAAGCAAATTGTCTCTAAATGTAATTTGGAAAAATTAAGATAGAAAAATTTTGAAAATTAATAAAGCAGTCTAAAGTATTGAACAGCATATGTTTTCAGTTAGAAATAACAAAGAAATAATTTCATCTTGATTGGACACTAGTAACTAGTGCGACGTGTCTAGTCCTCTCTTTGGTGCAGACTGAATTCTATCAGTCAGGTTGTAATGTGACCACCATTCTAGATAGCTCGCCATCACTGTGCACATTGATTTGATGGTATTAGATGGTTGGAGGCAGTCGGCAGGAAGCCGTGGACCTAGGTTTCGGGCTAGTTGGCACTCACCAGTCAGCAAGGTGTATCCGCAACCTTGAAGGAACTCATATCCCTTCTAGAATGGTGGCCACACTGCAAACCTGACTGATAGAATTCATTCTCCACCAAAGAAAGGACTAGATACATCACACTAGTTACTGACCAGTGTCTAGTCAAAGTATCCACTACATTCCTACAGGAGGTCAATCGCCAGCCCGAATAGCTCTGTAATCATGTCTCCGACTACAGCGATGCGGAACGCAGGTTCGAATCTCAAATGGGATATGAGTTCCTTCATGGCTGCAGATATGTCTTGCTGATTGGTGAGCGTCAACTAGCACGAAACCTAGGTTGAAGGCATCCTGACGATTGCCTCCAATTATCTATTAATTTCATTTAATTGAATTTGAGATTTACCCGTATACTGACTGGGCCGAAGTGCTCGGTCTCAGGTTGGTTTGTCGGCTTCTTGTGCAGATTGTGCACATGGTGGATAGTTACTACCAGTTAACTTCTAATTACATGCCCAGACTTCCTCGAAGCATCTGCACAAGAAGCCGACCGGTCAACCTGAGACCGAGCACTTCGGTCCAATCAGTATACGGGTAAATCTAAAATTGAATTAAATAATTAATATAACCCGTTGCACGACAGGTGGCTCTCTTGTGGCCCATGTGTTCTCGGGAATAACGCTTTCGCGTTCGAAACTATGGGCACTGGGTTCCAGCCTCGGTGGGAACGACGTCACTCACTGTGGAGTGCAAGTACGTTCTGCTTCCGAGTCCCATACAGGATGAAACGCGCATCCTGGATCCCACTGCTAGTCACCATTCTGTTTAAAATCACTAAATTTCACAATTAAAAGCTATTTTCGACTATTATTTGAAGAAAAGGAACAGATGATTGGTTTGGTATGACTCATCTATCCGGAACATATTTCTAATGTACGAGGATAAAAAGTCACATTTATTATTATTATCAGGGCTGATGCTACCCCCTCCCAGTTGCCTAAGTTAGAGCAGGCAAAGAGGAACCCACTAGCAGAAATCAGAGCTACACTTTAGCACCACTAACCAGTTACTTATATAAATTCTTAGAATCATGCATAAAATTAGTCAAATATTCAATATGAAGTGTAGAGAAAGGCAAATCACGTGTCAGGTCATATGCCACACACACACACCAAAAGGTCATATGGACAATAAAATTGTTTTTTGATTGACAAATAAGTCAATAAAAAAAATAATTTTCATTTTTTGTAGGAGAAAAACAAGAACAACGTTCTATAATAACTAACCTGAATAATATTCACTTAAATTAGCTCCAGATTGTATCATAAGCTTTAATACTTCTGGTGTAGAATATTCCATTACATGAATCAATAATGGACGTGATATAAAATTTGCCCTTGCCTGATTTTTATTGATGCTAATTAAATATTTTTCCATGTGTAATTTAGCTTTCAGTTGACCTTTACCCATTGCTTTTTTTATAAAAATATATATGCAGATAATAATTAATAAGGGAAAATGAATGGTTAGTGCATATATATAGTATCATGTAATGTAATACAGTATGTTTATGGTCCAATGAAATTAGAAAAACGTCTGCCTTCCTCTTGTGTGATCTTTCTTCACTCCTTACGTTTAGAGAGAGACATAGGGCTTCCGGCTGGAGTTAATAGCTATATGTCCAATCACCTCTCTTTACCTAGTTTCCTATAAGTAGGTAAACTAGACATTTAGGAGTGCGTCAGCCAGAAATGGAACCCCGACCACATGTGTGGTTTCAAATCTTTAAGTATTCCCATTATTAATATAAGAACAAGACATATAAGTGAACAATATTGTTTTCAATTAGATCTTCAGGCTTTACCCTAATTTACATAGACTTATATATAACAATTTTAACCAATGACGGTGATTCTGTGGATCAAATAATAATAACAAGCGTGGTAAGTGTTTTGAACGTCGTTAATAACGATGATTATAATGATAACAACATTTTCCAGCCAACTAATTATGATTGCTCAAGCGAAAGATAAACTACCTAGCTGTTCCACTTCTATGTGTATCTACAAATTTAGTTGTTCCTGTGGAGATAGCTATATAGGGGGAACAACTAGATAGCTTAACAAACGCATTAATGAGGATCTTCTATAAGAAGTTCTATTTTGGCTCATTCGATTGAAAGCGGTCACCAGGTGGACAGAAATGCTGCCTCCAAAGTTATCTATAGCATTCCATCGAGCCTTTCGAACGGAATTCGAATCCGTCTTTTACACATAGCCGAAGCTATGGGAATTCGAGAGGAAAACTCTAGTCTTTGCATACAACAATAGAAGTATGTTTTACCTTTGTCTCTCCCTTGGCCTAGGTGAATTCTAATCAAAACCCTCCCACCATTTCTTATTTTCCATTTCCTTCGTATTTTTATGATATTTATTAAAACTCTGATTATCTGTCCACTTCACCTCTAGTATTATATAACTTTTAAGATTTGACCTAATTTATTTATTGAATTATCTACATACACACATATTACTACCATTGTTATTCTTATCGCCACCTGCATAAACCTTATTATCAATATTTTGTTATCACTTTAATCATCGTTATTAACGACGTTCAAAACACTTACCACGCTTGTTATTATTATTTGATCCACAGAATCACCGTCATTGGTTAGAATTGTTATATATATATATATATATATATATATATATATATATATATATATATAAATTAGAGTAAAGCCTGAAAATCTAATTGAAAACAATATTGTTCACTTATATGTCTTGTTCTAATATGTATAGTTGCTGGTATTCAACCTCTGAACCTTCGATACAATATCCCATTTCATTAATTTGTTCAATCAAATAAGTGTTTGTTTTTGTAACTGTTTTCATACATTTGAGATGTGTAACAGTAGGAAGTGAATAAACTAGGTAACTATGGAGACAAGCACATTATTTCAAGTAGTGAATCAACTTTTACAATTGAATTCACATCATTTGTCATGATTCTAGAGTGTTTATTATGATTTTCAATAATTTTCTCCCCTTATGGGTCCTAAAGAATGAGAGACACTGCATCTTTTCTCCAGAACTGGATGTCCTACTCTTTTTTGTCACTTACGCTATAATTTTAGGAAAACTTCAATTTCGAATCCCTTATCTTTCATATACTGTGTACGAAGTCTATGCTCAGCTTTCAACCTATTTGAAATATTACATTAGCGATCTCATGAAACCTTTCTCAAAATTTTCAGGGGGGAATTTATTGCAGTTGAGGTATTTGTCATCGCATAATGGGATCATGCCAAATTTTATCGATAAATAAATACGTACTATTAAGAAAACAATTTTCAGCGAAGAGACTCTTTTCAACGAATTTATTATCAAGCTGTACAATCGTATATATATATATGGTTTTATAAAGAAATTATATCCGGTGAGGGAAAATTGTGTTTTCCTAATGCTACAATGGGAAGTATTAGATTATTGAAAAAATACGTACAGGTAAGATTCTAGTTTTTTTGGATGGCTTAAATAGTTCAGTTGCTTGTCGAATAGAATAAAGGTATGCATCTTATATGCATGCGGTATATCTTGAACATATCAGGCTCACAGTGTTCTTAACCATGAGTCTTTTACTTTCGAAATACGACTGACAAATGTCAGACATTGCTGGTTCTCGTGAATCACTATTCATACACAAAACTATAGACAAATATAAGGAATCTTGATCGTTCTCCAAATAATTTCTTAAAAAGGAAAAGCAATCACTCATAGAATACTACTTTTAAGTATATAGTACAGAACGTTATTTTGTTCCTTATGTCTGACAGGTGATCAGGGTTGTATTCATTCCTGAGTCAGAGACGTCAGTAGGTTAGGTGGTTGGAGGTAATCAATAGGAAAGCCTGGATGTGGGTTCCCCTCCTGTTGACACTTGGCAGCAAGAGATATCTACATCACTGAAGGAATTGATATCCTCTTGGAGATATGGACCTGTGCTACTTATTAACGCATTGAAATAGGTTATCAGCTAGCTAGCTACATGGATTCAGTAGGTCATAGAAGTCAACGACAATTGTTAACAAAGTGTGTGTGTGTGTGCGTGTGTGTGTACTTACCTAAACATTGTTTCATCTGTTTTACATCACCGGCTAAAGCGTAGATAGCGAATTCAGTTAAACTGATATAACTTTGCAGCATGTTTATCACTTTGGCAGACATTAATTCAGTTGACTTTTCACAATGATTTTGATGACTCCATAATGATTTAATCCATTCTATGACTGTTAATCCAGAGCGTTTTGCTTTTAACCAAATTAGATTTGCTTTAATTGTATTCTCTAATTCAGTATAAAAGTAATTGATGATATCTTCTGATTTATTATGTTGTATACTGTAAACTAGTCTATCGACAATTGGCCAAATGCCTGGATGATCTATCATACCTTTGGATTGTTTAATACTGCATTTCAGTAGACTGGTTTGTATATTTCTAGCGATAGTATATACACCTTTAGGAATGTAATTTTCATGATATACTGAATAACCATCATTGCATGGAATTGAACTGTCCAAACCTAAAATTAATTTTGTTTTATTTTTTAAATATGAAGAAAAGAAAATGAGCTATATTGTCTTAAGCAATTTAAACTGTGAGAGATTCTATGAAGCGTATGTATTAGGTGGTTGGAGGCAATCGACCATAGGAAGCTTTGAACCTAGGTTTCGTGCCAGATGACACTCACCAGTCAGCAAGGCGTATCTGAAACCTTAGAGGAACTCATGTCTCTTGTGAGATTCAAACCTGCGTCCCCCAGTGCTGCAGTCACAGACGTGACCACAGAGCTGTTCGGGCTTCTGATTGACCTCCTGTAGGATTGTAGTGAGTACTTTGATTGAACACTAGTAACTAATGTGAAGTGTCAAGTCCTTTATTTGTTGCAGACTGAATTCAATCAATCAGGTTTGTAGTGTGGTCACCATTCTAGGTGGCTCGCCGTCATGGTGTACATTGATTTGATGATATTAGATAGTTAAAGGGAGTCGCCAGGAAGCCTTGGATCTAGGTTTCGGCCCCATTGCAAACTTGACTTGATAGAATTCAGTCTGCACCAAAGAAAGGACTAGACACGTCACACTAGTTACTAGTGTTCAATCAAAGTATGAAGTGTATGTTTTTGATTTGCTTAATGTATACTTTGTTGAGTGAAACAATATTATTTATGGGATAGCTTCTGGGAATATGATTAATTATTGAGAGGTTTTATTTGTTTGATGCAGACTAGCGACTGAATCTATGACATGCACTTTGTCCTATTTGTAACTTGTCAGATGGACGCACTTGCATCACCAGCGAATGATGCTGTTCCAACTGAAAATTGAATATAATACCCGTAGTTTCAAAGGCCAAAGGATTATCTACTAAGCTCCTGGCGTTTTGGAACGACTTTTGCTGGGTTCGAGTTTTAGTGAGAACACCACCACTTACCAAGGATGCAGATACATTTAGCTGACAAGTTACGAATGGGACTCCACTGTCGGTCATCAACAACCAAATAATTTTGAAAAATCAAAGACGCATCCGTATGAGGAGTAGGCATGTCAACAGAGACCGAACATTTTGGTCTAATACAATGACTAGAAAAGGAATATGAATTTACTCAAAATGATAACTGAAAAGCACCAGTAGCTACCAGTCAGCGAACGACCTTCTATAGAATTCGTGTGTGTCTCTGTAATTGGGTCCACAAAATCCCTAGAATGGTTCACTCGGTGATGAACATATCCAAGAGATGACAGCGAGTTATAAACTTTCCATTCATCAGTATGTACAATGGATCCCTGTTTCATAAGTCGAGTTACAATAGGTACTAAGCTAGTAGGCTTTCTGTCTGGTATTCTCTCAATGAATCCATTCGGCAGGAAGGTGTCATATAAACCGATCACCCAAACATTGTTGGCTCGCTCACGACCACAGCTGTATTTTTTCTTCAGTAAGACAGTTTCGTCCACATGTACAACGATACCTTCTCCGACTGACAATGAAGTAATTCTCTCCATTTTCCATGAGGCGATATCTCTCTTTCCTAAGCAACCCCAAATCCAGGCAATACTGCAAAACCTTATCCTCATCTAACTGCAAGCATAACTTCGTTTGATACGAATCTAGCGCTATACAAACTTGAACTCGCGTGCATGAACCTCATTGGAACATTCGAGGTCATTCGCTGATCGGTAGTTAGTGGTGCTTAAAGTTTAACTTCGCCCTGAAAGGTTTTATTCACTCTTATTCTTCTTTACTAACTAATAGGGTTAATACCTCTGTATTTAACCTGATGTTTCCAAAGCATATACTCTTCTGTATTTACTCTCAGCTGAGAAGCACTGTAATGCTTCAAAGAACAGGCTTGATTCATTGTGAAGTCCATAGAAATACTCTTGCTTACAGCGTAAAACGTGTTTTTTATGCACATTGAATAATTCAATGACTTTTAAGTTATTTAAAGTAGAGGGCTGTTCAAACTTCCCTTCTGTTCTGAAAAATCCATTTCGTGATAAAAATATTGTCTGGAAATAATGTGACTACTAATACGGAGAATGTTATTTCATTTTGTTATGTAATATCAATATCACAGATTCCTAAGAGACGTTTGTTACTCATCATGAAAAGTGTCATGAAGTATAAGTATATAAAATGCACATAATACAGGTGATTTTGAGTTATTTACAGGAAAACAAGAGCAATTATTGCACAAATACACCAATTCTACATTTTTCATGACCGGCCATGAAGGTCACAGTAATATTTATAATATTATAATTAGATATATAGGTGGTGATGGAGAAATATGATAAACAGTTGAAATAAACCTGATTCATTTTTTTCACATGGCTTTATTTGACTATCTTCTTTCATCAGTGGACAGTCTGTGATTCTAAGGTACATTTCTCAATGAAATGATACAGGTTAGAGAATCGCTGAATACTAGAGAACACTTCTTCGTCGTACTTTGAGACTTCTCAACAGCGTGAACCCGAAATCTTAGTGATAAGAAGTGGATACATTCGCTTTATTGGGATCTACTTTAGATCATGTTACTAAGTTTCCTAAAATATTCAAGTGATCTACACCTGTGCACATGTTTGAGACCAACAATGATACCCTCCATAAAACGACGTCACTGCATAGTTTGACCATGTTTTTTTACTGGTAAAGTTAATTCAACTTTGGTTAGTAATTTAATGTGGGAATGCTATGAGTGCAAATGCGTGACAAAAAACCTAGCCACAATCTAGTTGCACAGGTGATCATCTCAGCCGAAATGAACGAAATTGCCGTCGATCAGGCCAGGAAGCACTACTGTTTGAGATGAGTGGCTTCTATATAACCCCATAATTTATTGAGAAAGCGTTGTTTTGTTTGCTTTCTTGAATGTTACTTATTTTGTTCAGAAAATCACATAGTGTGAGCTGAATATTTTTGATTTCCAAAAGGAGTCGTGGTGAAGTTTCACCTTGAACTGAGCAATCGGTAAATCATGAATTCGAATCCAGAGCAACATATCTTCTAAACTATAAGGTACTTGTTTTAAAGCTAACTAATTCTGGCTTATACCCCAAAATTCTTCACAACTAATATAGTGAATTAAAATTCACAAAGAAAGTGTTTTTTTTTTAAATTACCCAGTTGAATTAAAACAGAAATCAAACGTTGATCACTGAAATGTGGAATTTTCATGTACAAATTGGATGGTTCCTTTATCTCTTCTGTTGCTGGACGGTACAGAATCGGTGTAGACGTATTGGACTGATCAGATGTATTTTCTACAGAAACTTCTATGCTACCAATCACATCTTTTTTATTGTCTACATTACCAACTTCAGTAATATCTTCTCCCGCATTTGTTTTATCCATGTCAGTAACAGATTCAGGTCTGTGTTCTGAAGAACCTGTTGCCTCTTCATTATTCTGAACATCTTCTTGTACATCAGTGGCGTCTTCTTCATTATTCTCTTCATCACCATGTTGAGAAACTGGTTCTTCAGCTAACTCTGTAACATCTTCATTTACAACATGATTCACTTTAGCAGCACAAAGTAAGGCAGTATTTCCAGAAGTATCACGTGCTTGTAGATCAACACCAGATATGGCAAGTTTAGCCATAAGCCGAATTAAACCACGTTGTAAATTTGGCTGACATCTTAAGCTTTTATAACTGAATGAATTAAAACAATAAAAAAATATTGTTCACCAAATAAGTAAATAAATCCTCAACGGAATAACATTATGGCTTCTTACCAGCCATACTTGAAAATTAAAATTATCAGAAACATCGTGTTAACTAATGATGAAATCTGTGGGTTTATCAACAAAGATATTATGAGGTTGGAAATAATGATTAGTCTAATTCTAATCCGGTGACACTGTAACCCAATAGCTGAAGATTAGAGCTTTCATCTTTCTGTCAATGAGTACTTGTGAAAAGTTTCAAACTAAAAATAATCAGCTGTTCACTGCTTGTAAACAGTCAAAGCACTCGATAACTTTCTCATATTTGAAGTGATCATCGCTTATATAATAGAGCTGAGGTCTATATTTCATCTACAAATCGTCATGAGACGAATTTATGATTAATATAATACTTAATTTTAGGTAATATCGTATTCGTGTGCGTCAGTGGCACGGCGGTAGAATGCTCGCGAACCACGCATGTGGTCCTTACCTCGCTAAGCCAGTAATAAGACTGGTAGAGAGAGAAGGTTGGGCATGAGGCCAGCAACCCCACCCCCTAAAAATAAACACCATGGTTACCGAAACGTCAAAGCTTAGGCCTGAAGCCCTATGTTCCACGGGGAACGTGAGGGAATAAAGTTAAGAATCAATTAAATATGGTTTTCACTGCAAGTCGTAAGTGATGAATGACTTCATTGTAGTGAGCAGTTTAACTCGAAGACTTTCTGAAATTATCTTCTAGTTGATCATGATATAACTTGAGGAAGAACTTCAAACCTCTTGATGCCCAGCTGAATACTAGCTCATCTCGACGATGCTGGACATCAAGTTAAGTCTAACATAGCTCCCAAAAGTATCTATGGTATTCCACCCTACCTTTCATGTATTCGATGAGTATGACCTCTATATACAGCAGAGGTAATCAAAATACATCTGAACAAGCCAAATATGTGTGTTCAAAAGAAATTTATGCAACCCCTTTCATTGAGGTGACCAACTATAATAATAAGTACTAAGTTTCCTAGACTGTTTACCCTTCCCCTTGTAACTATCTTTCGATTCTATTACGATTTCAATTCTAGATAGTTCAGTTAACTTGTCTGTATCTTAGTATCCTTACGTAATTCTACTTAGACATTCGATTTTTCTTAGTCGTCAATATTTTAAAAATTTCTTCACTATGTAATAAATTGTTGCTAACCCCTACGAATTAACTGATCTTGAATTCCGTAATTAGTATTCAACCCACCTTCAGAACTTAGAAATCTTATTGCTTACATCTAATGGCTAATTGTTTGAGTGATTTTTAGTCTGTTATTTTCATCCAACCCCGTTTTATATCTAAAACCGACAATTCTTATAGACTAAAATAACTCTATGATTAGTACAATTCTGATGTAAAAGACTATATATTAGTGTAGGGCAGGTGATAAGGAACTAATTGAAATGGAATATATTTCTTAGCTCGATATGTGGCATGCTGTTTTGTGTTCAATGCAACTGTTGTTTAATCTAACGGTCTAATTGAACTTCTGGTCACTAATACACCCACATCAAACATATTTTCCTTCAAGTTACTTACTGTTTGTGCTTTAATCAATCAAAAATATCCCCAAGTTGCATTGTTTTTCGCTTGCACATTTTCTAAAATCGTTTAACCTCTTATTGGTGATATTCCTCATAAGTTTCAAAGGAAATATCAAATATGTGTAAATTCGGGTAGTGCAATCCCATATTAACTTATGAAATACATTACAAAGAAAAACAGTATGATTTACTGGATAAAATTTCTAACAAAATTGGTTGTTCACAACCATACTAACTATAACTGCACAATTTCGATACTTGAGCTTTATAACTCCACTTCTTCCTACGCATTTATTGTAAGGATGGTGGAATTTTCCATGTGTTTGGGATAGGTGTTGAATCATTTATGTTGCACGTATTCTGCGTTGTTTCGATAAATGTCAGACTTTCCACCGTGTTACATTAGATTCCAAGACTGTCATCTTATCCCACCCTATTTTGTGGTTGTGTGTAACCACATGTAGTGCTGTACCCGAGCTATTTCCTAGATTTCCTACTCTATTAGGATCAACTAATGAATACATAGGCTATAAAGGTATAACTAAGTCAACTAAATAAGTGGAACAAAAAAACTTAGCAAAATCTAGAATAGTTGAAATTAGCAGTGTCACATTTCTCTTACTCCCACTACATTATATTGCCTTTGTAACATTCACCCAAATGCACTTAACTCATGGGTAATATTCGGATATACTCTACACTTCAGTTGGTTTACACCAGCTGTAGGTTCAAATGAAATAAACGAAACCAAAACGTTAAAATAGGCGATAACAGTAAATTTAATTGGTGAGATGCTAATACCAGAGAGCTACCCTAATTTTTTACAGAGTTTGAGTGTGCATGAAGAGTCCTTAGGCCTTCTTAAGGTCAACTTGAATGACTCGTATGGTTTAGAATGGATAAAGGAAGTGATTATTATATGAAATATTTTTGTCAGTTTGATAGTTAAAATATTTACATGATTTGTCTTCGGCTACTATTTATGTTACTCAGTAGTATACAGAAATGTACGATAAATGTGGAACATGAGCCTCGTAGTATTTAACCCTCAGGAAGCCTTGGACCTAGGTTTCGTGCTAGTCGGCACTCAACGGTCAGCGAGGCGTATTTAAAACGTCGAAGGTATTCATGTCCCTTCTGAAACTTGAACCAGCATCACCCAGTGTCGTAGTAAGAGATGCTATCACTTAGCTATTCAAGCTTGCGACGGACCCCCTGTAGGACTGTATTGGATATTTTCTAATTGGATGCGAGTCATTAACTGGTGTAATATGTGTGTCTACCTCCTGTGCAGACTGAAGTCCATCAGTCAACTCCATTCAGTGTCCAACCAAAATTCACTCCTCAAAACTCGATTTCTCAAGAATGAAATCAGGTTACAATGTTGACAAAAACTTTAGACATACTTATACGTCTGTGAATTTAATGAATCTACTGTTTAACTAAGAATAAAAATTCTCTAAGAATTCTTAGCAAAGCTCAATTTATAATGATCTGAAAATCAATTTAAGCAACTGCTAAAAAAACTTACCGTTCAACTAAAAAATGCAAATAAGTTGCCTGATCTGTATGTCTACGAAGTTTTGGTTGAAATGAAGGATGATCAATTAATTCCCATGCTTTATTTAAATCTAGCATTGTTCTAGCTGTTTTTACTTGCAGATAAAATGAAGAGTTGACAAAGGCCATTTTTTTCTGTTTGACTGCATCTAAAAGAAAAGAGATGGCCACTCCATACAATTAGTTGGATAGCTGAATGAATTTGCGATAAAAGTTATATTATTTTTGTCATAGAACTTCAGTTTGAAACTTATTAGTTTATTTATTTTTTTCATTTTTGATTACAGCTTGATTCCACACCATATTTTTGGCACAAGTATGAGATTTTCAGTATGGATATCGGTAGCCCGAATTTTGCAGGCCAACCATAGATATCAGGTGTGCGTCGGATCGAACCTCAGACCATGTGCATAGTCGGCGACAGTCCTAACCACTGTGCCCGGCTAGCTCAGTCGGTAGAGAATGTGACTCTCCATTGGCTACTTGGTGACCGTTACATGATTTTTCACTGACTGCATACTATGGTGTTAGCTAGTTCGTACTATGAAATTATTACGAAAACATCAGCTCTCATTGATGATACAGACAATTCTGGCTGACGAGTTCAAAATAGGACGAAATAAGCATCCTAGATTTCAAGGCTAATCATTATCAACTAAACAGTAATCCATACTTTGTCTTCCAAATCGTATTCAATAATTTTTTTTAGTTACAGCGTTATTCAACATGGATGGAGGGAAACATCAATAAATCTAAAATTCTTTATTGATACTGGTCATTGACACTGTCCGTTGGAACTGGAGCTCGTAATAATAATAATAATTAATAATTACCCTGATAAATTGGTCAGGAAATATGTAAGGAAATGTAAAAATAAAATAGATAATGATAGTAGTGATAGTGATAATAATAATAATCACATGCAAGTCAAATGTGCGCAAGACAATACCAACAATAAGGAATCTAAATCATCAGTAGTAATTCCATACAAGGAAGGAACCTCAGAAACCTTACACAGAATTCTTAGCAATACTGGCAGGAATAAAAGTGGCTGGCATTCAAACGAACCACAAACTCAATTAGAAACAAGCTTTGTCAGTTAAAGGATCAATCCTGTGGAGCCTTTAAAACAAAACAATTTAGTTTACCTAATACCCTGCCTGCAATGATTGTCAGGTCAAATACATAGGTCAAACTATTAGAACAGGGGAAGTCAGACTAGTTAAACATAAAAACCTAGCAAAATCTAGATTAGCTGACCCAAATAAGACAAGAAATCTAGAGCATAGTTCAGCTATAGCTCTCACTACATGCAATCACACACAACCATACAATAGGATGGATGAGACAGGGTGACAGTTTTAAAATCTAATGTCACAGGGTATGGGGAGAGATTGATAACAGAAGCTTTGTTTATCGAAACAATTGCAAATCAACACGTGTAGTAGGAATGATTCAACACCTGTCTCAGATATCTGGAAAATTCGACTACCCCTACGACAAATAGGAGAGGATATTGACACTGAACAAATTTTTTTAGTTAGAATCACGTTAACAGTCAAAATTTGCTTACCTTCTCAAATACTAAGGTTTTATTGATACTCGCTTTTAGATAGACTGTTTACACAACTTTAACTGAGTAACTCTATTAAATCTGCTTAGCCGAGAAATATAGACTATTGTAGACGTCGTCAACTAGGATGTTTAGAATCACCTGGCGATAGTTAGAAACGAAGTGAAACCGAAACCCTTCGAAAAATCAACTGCAGTTTAAATAAATTTATAGAATTTGATTTGTTGGTAGTTATTATGAACTTAATGATTGTTGCGTCCTTAAAATACCAGTCAATAACGGGGAAAGTATTGAGTACATCTTTATATAAACATACAGTCATTTCATTCCACACAAATGTGATTTTGTCTAATACTTATAATCGATAGGAACTTTATATTAGTGTTATATCTTACCATGGTAGAGTAATTCATCAGATGCACCATATTTTATAAGTAATTCAACAGCTTCATTCGCTTTAGAGCCATATAACATTTTCAATTCGGCGATTAAAGGACGAGGTGGATCAAAGGTTACATCACATTTATTCACCTGACACCTTTCCTTTTCTAAAATATTCAAGAAAATTTTTAAAGAAGCATGTTTTAGTTAAGATACTATAGTTATTTTGTAAGGAAAACAAGTAGCGAAGATGGTATGTTAAATACATATTCGTCTTTTCTGGATTTTCACTTCATTTATTTAATAAGTGTTTAAGCTTATGAGAAATAGTTGATGTTGAGAAAAATTTTGGCCTACAGCCTGACGCGAGCAGCTAGCCAACTACTACTGAAGTTTCTTTAAGTGTTGGTCTACAGGGATTGGATCTGTTTCAGGTTTAATCATGAAAATCAGGGGATCTGGGACAGCTCTTTTATCATAATTCGGGACTCTTCAGTAGTATACACGAATGACCACACCAGTTTGGTGTAAGGACAAATACTGGTTGATCATATTGGTTAGTAGTCACTCTGTCTACTGCTAATTGGCAGAAGTTAGGATCGATTGTCCATTTGATCCTGTACTACTGGCTGAATGGACGACAAGCTCATCTTGTAACTTGAAGATCCTGGCTTTCATCACAGGCGTAGCCATGGATGTTTACTCTTGAATCGTCTTAAACAAGAATGAAACAGCCATCCAGTACAATCTGGTTTTCAGTGATTCTCTAAATGAAGTCTGTTCATATTAAAACTACTAATGAAGTTAGAGAACCACTGGAAAACCCTGGGAGTACTAGATAGCTGTTTCGTCCTAGTTTCGGACTCTTCATCAGCACGCATCCACCGTGGTTCAAACCCAGGACCTTCTAGTTACGAGGCGAGCTCGTAGACCATTAAGTCAATGGTCCTTGAATTCTAACTTCTATCAGTTCACGACAAAGCGCGACCATTTCGCAATGTCTTCTTTCCAGTGTTTCTCTAACTGGTGTCAGCTAATGATAAAATCCTCCATGCAATCAAACAAAAATATCTACAAAACCAATATTGAAAATACTAATCAAATGACTAAGGATTTTATCGGTATGTCAGTCAGTATGTTGTTTCTCATTTCCAATAAAGAGAAGTTCACTTTGGGATTATGACACGTAACTATGATGTTAATCAATTTAGTTACGCACAAACAGTTATATATCACTGGTTCACATGGCAAGGGAGAGAAATAGTCCTTATCTAGAGCGATGGGCATGACGTCAGTGAACCAAATACTAGTAATTTAGGTTCTATATTAAATTTAGCCATTAATACAATTCATTCTATCCTAGGTACCTAGTTTTGGAATGATGACCTTGAGAATCCCAATAACCTTGACTATCAGCAAGACTTAATTACAACAAAATGAAGAAAAATTATTCTGATATGTTGAAATGGGACCTTGTGTTGAACCACATGGACTTTTCAATATAATAACATACAGTAGTATATTGTCATATTTTATTTTTAAATACATTTCAAATGTCATATACTTCCACTAGAAATTGTGAAGCCAGCTGAAGAATTTGTAAATTAGTAGTGTCTGTGAATGCTAAACTCTGCGAAACTATCCAAACAGATTCAAATCTTATTCACATTCATTTCTGTCTCTCAGTATTTATCAATAAACTTTGAGTTTATAAAAGTACTAACTGTTAAGTTCATTCATCATTACAATAAATTTATTCATTAAATTACAATTGTTGATACTTGAAGGTAAAATGAAAATCTTGGCTGCCGGAGGATTCAAACAAGTGACCTCTGAATTACCACTTCAGAATACCATCAGGTGAGTTAAGCGACACAGTTGCTATTATTATTATTTCTTCTAATTCCTAGATGAACATGGGGTTTCAGCCGCATGCCTACATTGCGTCCAGTTCTCTGCCAACGTTTTCACCTGGCTCCAAGTCTGTCCACATGCTTTCATCTCCTCTTCACATGACCACCTTCATGTCACTCTTGCACTGATGACCAACTCGCTGATTCCCATTCAGTCTCCACTCAAGCGATGGTCTGATGTGTGATGTTGCCTGATGGTTTGTTTTCTTAGAGTATGAGCATTCCAACTCCATTTCTTCCTGCCTATTTGTTGCACAATTGCTTTCTGCTGGATTGGTTCGTTCATTGCCAGAGATCCCTGTTGCTGATCTTTTCTGGCCAGTCATCTGATCTTGATTAGTATTGAGCGAAGACAACTGTGGATGAAGGTCTGTAGTTTGCTTGAAGTGCCTTTGTGACGCGCCAAGTCTCTAATCCGCATAGTAAGTAGCATTGATTTCACATAGGAGTTGAAAATCCAGATCTTATTTTCCCTTCATGCGGAGTGCTGTTGATCTCCACACGGACGTGAAGGTAATGAAAGCTTGCCTTGCTTTCCCGATCCTTGCTTTGATATCCTCATCAGTTCCGTCTAACTGTAGTTGAAACGATGTCTCTCAGACAGGTAATGGAGGTTGTTTCTTTCAGATTCCTCCCATTTGTGCTGACAGTTGTCTGTTATTGTTGCCGTTGCCGTTAGCCAAGAATCTTTACCACCTCTGTTTTCTCAATGTTCACCTGAAGTCCTATCTTCTTTGGATGCGTCTTCTGCTAACTTGTTGCTTTTCACTTGCATATATTCCAGTTTATGGGAAATCAGACATATATCATCGGTGAAGTCTAGAAACTCCAAGTGTTTTGTGCAGGTCCATCTAATGCCTGTCTCCTGGTTACACGTCCCTGTCTGTCACATAATTCAGCCTACCGCAATCAGGAAAAACATTGGAGATAGTAGACAGCCAGTCTCCCGTCTTCACTTCGAAGGATTCGGTGAGTTTCCCGTTGTGGATTATTTGGTATGCAGCATTGTCGTACAACTGTCGGATGAGATGTATAATTAATTGTCAATGGCACTCCATAGTAGCGAAGTAGTTGCCAAATAACCTCTCGATCGACGCTGTCGAAAGCTTTTGCAAGATCAATAAAGCTGAGATAGAGAGCCGACTACCATTCCAAGCTGTGTTTAATGATGATCCATAGTGTCGCAATTTGATCGATGAGTGACTTCTTTCTCCTGAATCCAGCCTATTCCGGTCACACAGTTGCTAACTAGGCCATAATTTCATTATAGTCATCACAGTTTAAGCCCAACTGTCAAGCGAAGGAATAGTTTGCTGGTGTTCATTTATTACGAGACTAGATACAAAGCTAGGTTTCCCCTTTCATTTCATTTCATCTTCAGTCACCACCCAAAGCATAGATATTATTATTTGTTCTTTGAGTTTCAAGTGGAATATAGGGTTTCATTGGTACACCTTTGTTGTAGTCTATCCTCTGCTATCCTCTTAAGTTGACCACGTGATCACCCGCAAGCTCTCATTTCCTCTTTACACGACCTCATTCTTTTTACTGTCAGACCCTCACCCATACTGTCGCTTCTTGTTCCTGTTTCACTCGACATCTTGACATGTGAAGGTCCCCTCCACCTTCATTTCTTTCTCCATATTTGTTGAGTAGCTGATTTTATGACAGTCTTAAGAAGGTAGATGTTGATGGAAGTCTGCAGTAGACTGTCTGAAATGCTTCTTTTTGCTGTCTTAAGTCTCTGAACCATCAGTAGCAGTTCGCATACTCAGAGGTATTTCAAACAGTCCAACCATCGGAAGAGTTTTTGCTATTTAATCAACTCCTCCTGTGATAACTTGAGTAAGATTGTTTGTTGAGTAGAATAATTTTATCCATGATTATTTACTTGATTTATCTGAACCTGTAATATGCATGGGTAATCTCCAGTTTTAAATCAAATCTCAAAGATAAATTCATGCTTTCTCAAACAGCAGAAAATCTAGCAGTACTCTGAATTGTACTAGTTATCCCTTATTGAATGTACTTGTTATCTTATTAGTTCACCGAAACGTATTTCCAGGCTGAATTATTCCATAGATTAAAATTTCGACTAACTTTTTGATGTAATGCAAGGTGATATTGTGGTAAGAGCTGGCTGTTAGCCGAAACTGGTAGACAGTAATTTACGTCAATGTTTATGTCCCAAATATTGGCCATGTGAAAACAAGAACGAAGACTGACTCAACAACCAATTTTTATTTTTATTTTTTAATTATAGCTTGATACCACACAGTACTTTTGGTGCAAGTATGGAATTCCCAGCATGCGATATGCGGGCCGACCATTGATATCAGGTGTGCGTCGACTTAGGATTGAACCCTGAACCATATGCTTGGTCGGCGAGTGTCTAACCACCGTGCCACCGATGCACAACAGACTTTGCGTAGGCGGATGCAATTAGCAGAGAGATGATCTTACATTCAAGAAGCAGCCACAAAGAGATGAACGATTAACTGTCAGTGAGAAACAACCAATCAGAAGACGGTCTTTGTCAGCTAACAATAATCTATAATAATGTACATGAAAATCTATAAATATGTCTTGATTTCCCTAATAAACGATCTGTTGCCTGGCCCTTGTCTTCTGTTATTACTATATCATCGCAAAGAATTTAGTTCACTAGTTCATATTAAATTGGACTGATGGTAACTAGTATAATAGTGAAACGTCGGCTAGTTAAAGTGACAAAGTTCAAATATCCACATCTTGATTTACATTAAACTTACCAATCTTTGTCGATAAAAGACTCTCCATATAGTTTAAATCTAATGCCAATGTTGCTGCAATCAACTCATTTGTGTTACGTGCTTGATCAATATGCCTGACTAATTCATAATTACCCGTTGACATTGCACACTCGAATAAACTTTTCCCACTTGGTTGATTTGCTACAGTTCGACACCAACAGGATAAATAATAATCTACTTTAGACAGATCTTCTCTTCTAACTAAGAAATAGTAGGGAAGAAATAATAAAAATAATACAAGAAAGATAGAGATATTGTGGTGAGAGCTGTCTGCAAGACAAAATTGTAGACAACAATTTACGTCAGTGTTTACGTCCAGAATCGGGGTCATGAGAAAAAAAGCAAGAACAAAACCTAACCTTGAGAAATACACCAACCAATCACAACAAACTTAACGTCTATTAGATGGCTGGAGGCAATCGACCACAGGAAGCCTTCGACCTAGATTTCCTGCTAGTTAACACTCACCAGTCCCCTAGGCGTATCTGCAACCTTGAATGAACTCATACTTCTTCTGAGATTCGAACCCGCGTCACCCAGTGCTACAGTCAGAGACGTCACCACTGAGCTATTCGGATCCACGATTGACCTCCCGTAGGACTGTAGTGGGTATTTTGATTGGACACTGGTCAGTAACTAGTGTGATGTGTCTAGTCCTTTCTTTGATGCAGACTGAATTCTATCAGTCAGGCTTTTGCAATGTGGCCACCATTCTAGGTGCACACTGATTTGATACAATTCGCAGATATGTGGATAACTTTGTAAAAAACAGTCACAAGCAGTACAGAATAAACTTCAGTAAGAAAAAACAATCAGAAGACGTTGCTTCTCCGCTAAAAGTAACGAATAATAATTTACATAAAATCTATAAATATTTGTTGTTCTATCGTTACAATATTATAGATAATGTGCAGTGAAATAGTTTAAATTTATGTATACCGCATAAAAGCTGAAAATCGCTTAAGACTCCTAGACTTGAATATTGTATTTTTATAGTTTTATATTGTTACAGTTATCAATAATTCACGAATATTTCTACTCATTTCATCAACTTCACCTTACACAAGCCAATAAAACAATCAGACAGTAAGATCAGGTTATTTATTGGCGTTAGGGACATCTTTAGCAACATAATTTAATCCTTTGAGTTTGAATACCAAAACACTATCACTCTACTTGATGTTTTACTATACTAATTCAATCAAATGTATTCACACACTGTAGCCTTACAACTAGATGCTATTAGACTAACTGACCTTCTCAAAGGAAGACTGATTCCAACATCTAGTTGAACATGAAATTGTTCAGATTTGCAGATAAACTCTAAAGTTGAGTATCAGCTAACAAGAAGCCTTGGCAAAAAAGAAAAATTCTGCTCATTCATCTCTCCAAATGAAAATCACAAACACTTCTTAAAAGTCAGTAACGAAAATTCTAGCAGTATGCGATAATGTTATTGTATTTCACTTAATTTTCATCTGCACATTATTATTCCCTCGGATTCCAGGTGAAACATTCAAGGTTCAACATCACGTCTCCACTTTATTCTATTTTCCGTGGTCTTCGTAAGTTATCCGCATGCTTTTCCATGGGCTGTTATCTCCTTCTCGCATGATCACCTCCATGTCACTCTCGGATGACCAACCCACTTGTCGTTTTCCATTGGGATTCTACTCAAGCAATAGCTTGGCGCGCGATGTCATTTGACAGTTTCGTCAGTGTGTGCCCAACCCATCTCCACTTTCCTTTATACATTTGTTAAGCGATAGATTCTTGGTTAGTTTGTCCCCAGGGTTTCTTCTTGCTAATTATTTCTGGGCTGGCAATTGGATCTTTGATATAGAGCCAGTGAAGGCAGCTATTGATAAAAGTCTTTAGCAGCCTGTTGGAAATGCCTTTTAATGACGCACCGACTCTTTGAGCCATATAGAAGAACTGACCGACTTAACATAGGTGTTGAAAATCGAATTTTCGTTCTTTTTGTTGAGTGGAACAGATTTCTAAACTGGTTTCAGAGTGATGAAGGCCCTTCCGATTCTCGTCTTGACAACTTCTTCCGTGCTGGCTGCCTGTAATTGAAACGATGCAGCCTAGATAAAATCTAACTACGTTGATAATTAATTTCATATTAGTTTGTTTATTAGATGTATCCCATAGTGAAACAGTATTATTTACTGGATGATGTTTCGAACACAATTTATTGTTCATAATTATATCATTCATAATCACACGACTTCGAGACTAGAGTTTCATAGTTTTCTTTGTCCTCTCCTATTTGTCGTCGTTGGGGTAGTAGAATTTTCCAGATATCCGGGATAGATATATTGATCGTATTTGCAGTTGATTCGATAAACAAAGTCTCTGTTATCAATCTCTCCCTCCAGCCTGTGATAGAAGCTTAGTTTGTCGAATCAACTGCAAATACATGTAACAGGAATGATTCAAAACCTATCCAAGATATCTGGAAAATTCTACTACCCCAACGACGACAAATAGGAGAGGACAAAGAAAACTATGAAACTCTAGTTTCGAAGTCGTGTGATTATGAATGATATAATTATGAACAATAAATTGTGTTCGAAACATCATTCAGTAAATAATACTGTTTCACTGTGGGATACATCTAATAAACAAACTAATATGGAATTACTTACTACCATAGTGCTCAAGTTTTACACATATATTACGTTGATGATTAAAGCAAAGATTTTTGAAAAATGGAGTTTCTATCAGTCAGCCAGTGGATCCCATTTAAACAGATATATTTCCATTCATACCATGAAATAATCCACTGAAACATCCTGTCAGAAAATTTTCAGTTTCTGGTTGACATTTAAATGATACATTCATTCTTTGCAAAAGATAGATGGACGCAGTTGAAATACTTACTAGTTTCCTAACCTGCAGTGTTATATGTTTTAATTACTGTGGCGATGATGTTGACTCGTAATGAAATCTACCTCGGAATGAATCAAATCCGAGCAGCACAAACACTTATAAGCTAATGCATTAATCATTTTTGACTGAACTAAGGTGTGGGCGTGGGGGTTGAACCCTCTCGGGTCCTTGTGAAAAGTTATAACCTGTGGAGTCCAGTAAATCAGCTTTGTGGATAGACACTCACCAATGACATTAGTAACTGTACAGTGTTATAATAAACATGGCAGTTTAAGTTGATTTACATTTGAAACCAGAAGAGTATCTCTTAATGTCATGAAAGCTGAAGGTTAATGGATTTACTGCACTATATCCTGCGTATAGTTAAAACGAAATCCATTAAATTTTTAATGAATTCGTTTTATTCTGAGAAATTTATTACCCTTTAATGACAGAGATGTGAAAAGAAGACCAAATGTAAGACAAAATAATGTTTAAACTAAATGAATACTTAGGGTTTTTTTATAAAACAAAGACTTACTTGCATTCCATATACCACAGTTTAAACCAGGCAAATTTTTTACTAACCAAGCTCTTCTTTCTTCACAGTTGTAATAGATATGAAGACCACAATTATTCTTAATTTCTGGATCAGCTCCTAAAATGATTTATAATAATAATTTTATCGAGACACTAAGAATATTGATTGAAGTAGAGATGATTAACTAAAGATTACATATTTCCCTCTCCCCGCCTCACACACACGGGAATAACCCATCATTTTTAGCTGCAATTTCGCCTCAACAGTGTCCATAAGTTTAATTGAATTTGAGATTTTCCCATCGATTGATTGGACCAAAATACTCGATCTCAACTTGACATGTGGGCTTCTTGTGCAGCTACTTCAACGATGTCTGGGAATTTAGTAAGTACTTAATTGGTGGATGGCGACTAGCGGTGGAATTTAGGATGCGCATTTCGTCCCATTTGGGACTCGTCATCTGGATGCACCTGCATTCCCCCGCCCCCGGGGTTTGAACCCAGTGCCCATAGTTTCAACCGCCAAAGCGCTATCCACTAGACCACTTGGGCTACTAGAAGCCGACATGTCAACCTGAGACCGAGCACTTCGGTCCAATCAGTCGACGGGAAAATCTCAAATTAAATTAATATGACCTGTTGCACAAGGGGTGGCTCTCTTGTGGCCCAAGTGGTCTAGTGGACCATTGATATAAGAATAAAACTTGTGCACTGTGGTAGAGTGTAATTTTATTATGGGTATATCTTGTTTTGATAAAGTCTCACAGTGTTATACAGTAATGTTTACTGATGACGTTTCGAGAACAATGTATTGCTCATAATCATATCAAGGTGATATGATGGTCTAGTGGATAACGCTTTGGCGTTTGAATCTATCGGCACTGGGTTTGGGCCCCGGTGGGAACATCATCACTAACTGGGGAATGCAGGTACATCCAAATGACGTGTCCCAAATAGGACGAAATGTGAATCCTGGATTCCACTGCTAGTCACCATCCACCAATTAATATCCATAAGTCTATTAGATAAACAAAAATCTGCCATAAGCTTAGTCAACCACCATAAGGGACTTAAACAATTTCGTTCGTAATTTTTAAGAACAACTTATTTACTGTGTAGTATCAGGTATTGTGCTTCTACACAAGGATAAATTTCAAATAATAGAAAAGACCAGTAGTTCAGCATGAGGATAGAAATTGTTCTGAATCCACTCAGCACTGGTAACACGACAAAGATATTTCACTGTCAAACCTTCTGACAGATTTTAGCAATATCTTTAGTACGAAGTTAAGAAAGTGTAGGTTTTACAGGGATGCTCAACCAGAATCCAGTATCCATACAGTTGCTGTGACTTTTTGATTGAGAAAATATTCATTCCATAAACACAGTCATCATAATAGTGATAATGTATATTATCAGAATATGGTAAAACAATCAAATTCCATCGCAATGTAGAATTCATCGTAAATAAACCTGAGTTCACGTACCACCTAGAATAAAGGAGCGCTAGAAAATAGTTCTGACCTAGTTTCGAACTCGTCAGTAGGGAATATACATGACTTAGTCAGTGATCGAACTCATGACCTTCAGGTGACACGCTGATCTCATTGGGGATCCACCTGCTGCAAATAAATAAAAACATTAGGAATAAATTCACATTAGGAATATTCTCCTTGAAGACACTTTTATTGTGCTTAAGAGAAGCAAATGTAACAGATACCTTCGTTTCTTGTCAATGATTATCAAAATATTTAAAATTAAACTAATTGTTGACCGAATTTTTCGAGATAGGCTTGATTTAGACATTTGATATTAGGATAATGGTATGTTGGTAAAGTATTATTTCACAGTCTAGACTTTCATTTTAAGTCTGTTACTACATATTAATTTATTGAAAATATTTAACCTGAACTTTAACAATTCCAGATTTGATAAAATTTCTAAAATTTTCAAATAATATCAAAGATGTATGGTGCTATATACTACTGTCTAGAATTCTTCTACGAAATTTGGAGCTATAATCCAATCGATTAGTTAAACTACACGTTTAGAAACATGTAAAATCCAAAAACACAGGATACGTCTAAAGTACAGCATTATATCATATATAAATTAATGAAATATTATATACAAAGTTCAAATTGTTAAGTGACTGTCGCTAAATGCCATGAAATGTACAGTCACTGTGCATTAATAAGAAAAGCGTCAAAGCTGTGTCAAAAGTGATCCGTGGTCACGCTTAACAGTGTGCGAATGTAAGATAAAGAATAAATAGATCTGAATAAACGATGCTCAACAAAGAAGGTTATATAAACGAAGCATAAACAGCAGATAAATTTTAACTATAAAGAAAAAGTTACAATATTCCAAGTAGAATAATAATTATTATTTTTATTCTCTTGGGTTCCAAGTGGAACATAAGGCTTCAACAACACATCTCCACAACACATCTCTCCTTGCTGTCCTCTTCAGCTGGAGCTGTGATCGCCTATAATCGCTTATCTCCTTCTCCTCTCACGATCTCCTTTATGTCACCCTTGCACCGACAACCAACTCATCGCTTCCCATTGGGGTCACACTTACGGGTTTGCTTGGTGCGAGATGCCATTTGACAGCCTCCTCAATGTATGCCCAATCCATCCATCTACATTTTCTCCTACATATTTGTTGAGCAATTGGCTCTTGGTTGGTTTGTTCCTAGCCAGAGTTTTTTGTTACTAATTTTTTTTGGCCGGCTGATCATTTCATTTTCACTGTGGACCCAGTAAAAGTGGCAGCTGTTGATAAAGATCTGTAACTTGTAGGAAATCTTTTTCGTGACACGCACTGCAAATTTCTGACCCGTTTGGAAGAAATGACTTATTGTTATTAAAACATTGAGTCATAGTTACAATGTAATAAATCTAAAGTCATACTACTTACTGATGGTAAGTAGTATAATGTCTAACACAAAAGAAAGAATAATAAAGGGCAAACAGGAAAGGAATTAACATACTGTTTCATGTTAATAGTTGGACACCACTCATATCAACCAGTAGTGCATGCTAGCCAGACTGAAGTGAAGTAAACACCAGACGGCTGTTTTCCTCATTTATGACTGAGCATATCAGCGATATACCTCTTATGAGCTGGATCAAACCTCTCGAATTATGACTACCTACTTTGATGAACTAGTAATACATTATGGGATACTCGCAATTTACAAACTAACTGGCTATTTGCAAAAGAATGAAGCTACATTCGGCATCTGGATCACTTTTATATGGCTTACAAACATTACTGGTTAATAGGAGTGATATCTATGTAGTCATATCAATCAATCAGTCGAACATAGTTTTATGCATTTGTGCTTACTTTTTTGATTGTACTTTATGGTATCAAGCAGACGACATACTGTGATCTGAACACTTTTGCTTTACAGAAGGAACTGTAATGAAATTCCACGTCAAAATTTATAAAGCGTAAGTGGTGAATTAATTTGTAAGTTGTAAATTTCATTCAATGACTCACTTTGCAGATCTTTAAATATTCCAGCTAAAAATATACAAAACCCTATTCTAGTTGACTTTTGGTAAACCAACCCTTCAGCAAATAAGCGTCTATATGTGGGCTTTTTATACTTTATTCTGTTTATGTTACATTATAACTGCTTTTTAATATTGTCCTAGAACGATAAGACGTCATGCATTTGTAATTTTATGACTTAGCAAATACCTGAAGAGAAGTTTTTTGTTTGTTGCTGACATCCGAAGAACACTCGAGTCTTGACAATGCTTTTAGGATCTTATTATTGATATTCTTTATTTTATTCCCTTAAGCTTCAAGTGGAACATAGGGCTTCGAGCTTCAGCTTTGAAGTTTCGTTAGCAGTGGTTTTGTTTTTACGTGATGGAGTTGCTAGCCTCACTCCCAGCCTTCCTTCTTACTGGCAGTACTACCGGCTTAGCTGTGTGAAGGAGTGCGTCGGTCAGGAATCAGACTCCGGACCACCTGTATGGTTGGCGAGCCACCTACGCTTACTTTAGGTTCCTAGTTATCTTAAACAATATATTAAGTTCCTAAATGAGTACAGTTTTGACAAAAGATGTAAAGATCAATTCCTACTGTAAATTACATAAGATCTTAATATAGTGAAAATTAAACTTTGTAGGAAATAGTCTTTTATTTCCCCATTCAGAATCCATATAACTCCAAGAGATCTTTGTTATCAAATGAAATATGAGTGTCCACTCTCGTCAATGTCCATATATCAGTATATTTTACCTTTTAACCATCTTCCTTAAGACTGATCGACAAGAGTTGTGACTATTATTGTGAATTCTCTCCGCTTCTCTATGATTTAAGCCGTCATTTAGATAAGGTTTGCGAATTTTAGAACAGGCTAATAGTGCTACAAAATGGAGCCAAAATTTGTCTGAAATCGGCTTTACTTCTATCAACATAGACAAAATTCGAATGGTTGAGCGGCATAGACGAGTAGGTCATCTAATGATAAAAATAACCAATAAAGATGTATGATATATTGATTAGTTTGTCAGATATCTGGGAATAGAACCAAAAATCAGGTTGGAGTGCAGACCAGTGTTGTATCTCAAAGCTTGTTGAATTCAGCTGACACTTGATCGACACTTTCCGTCGATAGTTGTAATTTAAAAGAGGATTATAGTGATTACAATCAGTTTACGAACTTGTATATTCCTAATAGTTCATGAGTATTTTGATTATAAAGCGGATGCCTGCAGTTTAACAGAGAAGGACTCAAATGACACTTTAGAAGTGAACTATTTCCTTATTTCTTCATGTTGAGAATAAATTCGTGATGCTGAGTGTTGCGTAATCGATTGAAATATTTAGCAACAAATTGTACACGAATGATTTAATGAGTGATGACTAAAGGAGTAGGGAAAATCTGGGTCGTTTCAGGATTTGAAACATCAACCTTAGATTTACTAGCTCGACACTCTAAGAGCTAAATCCGCTGATCCAGGAGTCGGTGGCATAGCAGTTATGACGCTAGCCGACCGTGCACATGGTTCGGGGTTCGATTACTGGCCTGCCAAATTCGGGCTACCAATATTACATGCTGAAAATTCCATACATGTATCGAAAATACTATGTGGAGTCAAGCTACAAAAAAGATAAAAATAAATTAGGTAAAAAATTTCACTTCAGTCACTACATGTACTTAATAGCTGTCATGTGGATGGATGGTACATACTATTATTATCATCACTATTCTTTTGTGCTCTGAGTGGAACATAAAGTTTCATTAGTACATCACCAATTCGCTCTGTTTTGTCTGTTTTTTAGACATGGCCTCACAGTTGGCAACAAGCTTTCATCTCCTCCTCTCGGACTCGCGCACAACTCATCATTATCCATTCGGGTTCCTCCTGGTCGATGGCTTGGAGCGTAATGTAATGTATCAACAGAAGACAAGGGCAAGGCAACAAATCGTTTATTAAGGAAATCAACATATATTCATAGATTTTCATATACACATTATAGATTATTGTTAGCTAACAAACACAGTCTTCTGATTGGTTGTTTCTCACAGAAAGTTTACCTTGCATCTCTTTGTAACTGTTTCTTGAATGTCAGATCATCTATATGTTAACTGTATCTGCCTACGCAAAGCCTTTGTTCTCATTTTCTCAGGACCAAAATTAAAGACATAAATATTGACGTAAATTACTGTCCACCAATTTCGGCTAGCAGCCAGCTCTCACTACAGTAACTCAACGGTTTCTTCAGAGTGTGTCATGGTTGTCAACACGTCCTTCTCCATATTTTTGGAAGAAGATTCTTGGTTGGTTCGTTGCCTATCAGGGTTTCTTTGCTATTAATCCTTTCTATCCATCTGGAGGGAAGACGCCGCCACCCTAGCTACTCAGCTAGGTTAACCCCTACTAATCCTTATGATACTGGTGTGGTGAGAGATGGGTGCTAACCAAATTGGTAGACAGTAATTTACGTCAATGCTTATATCCCAAATATTAGTCATGTGAAAACAAGAACAAAGACTGACAGCAGACTGTGCGTAGGTGGATACAGTTAACATATAGATGATCTGACACTCAAGGAACAACCACAAAGAGATGAAAGATTAACTTTCAGCGAGAAACCACCAATCAGAAGACTGTGTTTGTTTGCTTACGATATTCTATAATAATGTACATGAAAATCTATGAATATGTGTTGATTCCCTTAATAAACGATCTGTTGCCTGACTCTTGCCTTCTGTCGTCACACTGGATTCAAAGGAGAAGAATAAGTTGTCAAATGATTGCGAAAATAGATGGGTTAACCTCAGATTAGCAGACTACTACTGATATTATGGGTGGAAGTAGTGCTAGACGGTTCGAATCCTTCCGCTACTTAATTTTTCGTTTTATCCCAAAAAGTGTGACAATATATATGCATCATTTCAGTAGTCATCATCTACCTTATCAAAGTTAATCAACTGTTCTCCTTCATACACAAAGTGAAAGACCTGTGAACATTTAAAAAGCTCTTTCATCATTATTTCTATTACTACTTATATACTACTCACAATACTCATAGTATGAAATGTTAATATTAACTACTTACCTAAACGTATTAAATGCACTGTTAAAAATTCCGTGTAAGGTAGAAGGCAGACTAAATGCAATGGTGTATTTCCCATATTATTTTGTGCATTAATTGAACATCGACCGTGTATAACAAGACGATAAACTAATCCAACAATTGCTGAAGCCCATTCAGGATATAAATTTTTAGATAAATCAGATAAATCAATACTACTACTATTTTGCTGTTTAACTACTAATTTAGAAACTGATAAAATTAAATAATGTAGTAGTGTATTCCCTGTCTCTGCATCTTTCATACTTCCATGCTCTGAATTCACTAATTGATGAGCTAACCATAAATTCTCAATAGAAATTTGTTCAATTAAAGCGTAAATATCTAGCAATTTAAAGTTGTTCTCCATATTCATATTTGTAGATGGCAGTTTCAAGGATTGTTTATTACCCATACAACCACTATTTGTGGTTGATATCATCATTTCACTTGATAGAATACGACTAGAATCCATTTTGTGTATAGGATATTTGTCAATCCAATATGATGATGATGATGATAAGTGTAATGCTAATAGGAGAATACATTTATTTATATACACAATGCAATAAGCTTTAATGGTTGCTAAGTGACAGTTTAGTATACAACTATAAAAAATCATCAAACTATCAATCAGCTGACTAAAGACCTGAAACAATTAAGCGAATTTGAACAGATCAATAAATTCAACAAACGTTTTCTATAATATCAAATTAAGGTACCTAAGGTAAATTTATGCAAAAGGTTATGGGATCTATGGGGATATGGATTAATTAAGTTTCATTTTGTTAGATTTTTCCACGAAACAACATCAGTTAGAGAAATCACTGGGACCAGCAAGCAGTGGACAGTTGTTTCGTCCCTTTTTTAGACTTTTCAGCGCAATGACGGCTACTGTATGAATATCCTGAAGTCCTGACCAGCGAGATCCACCATGTGAAGATGAACTGGATGCTAATCAAAGATACTGCTGAGAGAAACACTTTATCACGAGCTGATAAAGTTAGAATTCACGGATCGTGGAATCCCGACCTAAGTGTCGGTGGCACAGTGGTTAGGACTCTCACCGACCATGCACATGGTCCGGGGTTCGAGCCCACGCCGGTGCACACCTGATATCTATGGTTGGCCTGAAAAATTTGGGCTACCGATATCCATGCTGAAAATTCCATACTTGTACCAAAAATACAGTGTGAAATCAAGCTGCAAATAAAAAAAAGTGTCTGAATGGTCAATGAGCTCGGCCCCGCATAATGAAGGTCCCAAGTTCGAACCATGGTGGTGTCGTGACTGCGCAGTGTGAGAAGTCCTAAACTAGTACGAAACAGCTATCCTATGCTCCCTGGTTTATGATAACCTCTCTAAACGGTGTTGATTGGCAACGAAATCGAAAAGGCGAAGTTAAACTTATGTAGAAGTTATTTTGAATAATGTATAATAATAAATTGACTAAGTTTCAAGATAATTTACGCTGTAAGTTGATGTTATTGACTATTTAAAGTATTTCAAATTAATGTGTACTAAAGAGTTTCAGTTTATTCAGCTTTAGGTCGCCATTAAGTGTTAGGAGGCTAACTTAACATATGCTAATTTCTGTGATGTGTAAAAACACTAGAAAGTCACTTCAGCATCACCAGTAGATACGTCCCTGAAAAATGTCTTAAAATAGCTTTGGGATAATATGGATTAAAGGGTCAAAAGAGTAAACCTTAATTACAGATGCACAGTAATGCAACCATAACCCTTCACTGGATGGTAGTAGGTTCATCTCTGGTTCAGGGTGTACTATGCAACTGCAGATAATACTGTTAAGAGGTCTTACAGTAGAACAGAACAGTTGTTTATTTCTTTTTAATAGACTTGAAAATAGCTCAAGTGGGTGGTTTAACGTAAATAATTCAGCAAATGTATAACTTTAAGGTAACTTTTGCGAAGTTTTACAAGGATAAAATAGTCATTATGTTTGATCCAAAGGATATTTGATTAGTACCAAAGTTTTATACATCTTTTTCAGTCTGCATGTGTTAAACAACTATTAAACAGAAAAAAATTTGTCTAGCTAACATTTCTTCTGTTGACTTTGTTTATATAACTTTCAACAGCTTAGTATGATTCTATACTGTATAGTTTTCTTAAAAGCATCATAGCATTCAAGAAATGCAACGTCTTGATCTTAGATCTTTGATATTTTTTGAATCAGTTTATCTTTGATCTTTTTTCTTTAGACCTTGGCACCACTTAGCTGACCGTTGGAAACTAGAGAGGACTGAATCCACTTGTCCTAAATGAGACTATTGGTTGAGTTGTGGGTATATACTCCTGAATAGGCTAAAACTAGGATGACAATAGTTTTCACTCCTTCTCCAACTGATATTGCTTCATGGATAAACCTACATTGAAATTAACGATTGAAAACTGTTCTTAGCGTGTTACTTTCACAGATTGAATTTCGGTTATCAAAAGCTTCAGTGTTATACTAGGCACTCAGTTGAATTTCTAACTAAGAAAACGGTTTAGTTTAACTATCTGCATCATAAGCTACAGGCACCTTTCATTATCGTGCATAGATAGAGGTGAAAAGACTGCTGCAAAGATGATGACCTAAGATAACCTTAAAGCAGTTGTTTATGTCAGCTTCCTAGTTTACAGTGAGAACAAAACATTCAAATTTAATGTGATTGTAAGAATCTTGTAGTTTGTTCTTAATATTTATGTTCAGAATGAAAATTATGATCGATTTGAGATCAAAACACTTTCAAGAAAATAAATAGCAGAAATAAGTGATACATGCTTCTGACTGATATGAATAACCAATAAAGTATCTACATTAATTATCCATACTACTTAAATTGATCAAAAATGACTTGAATATGTCTCTTGCATAGAGGATACTAATGCAAATGAAGCGTCAATTAGATTTTAAAAAAAGAATAATGAGATCAGTTAGCTATTAAAACCATTTTAGTGACCTAAGCTAACTCTGGTGTACTACTGAGGATTTTTGATGACAATGCCATCTGTCGTTTGATTGCTTTATTGGACTAATTAAAATCTACTTTTTTCATTTTAAGTGGATTATAACGCTTCAAGTTTTTAAGCTTCAGTGGCCAGTGTCTTTAAAATTACGCAACTGGATTGCCACTCTCACGAATAAACTTTCCTGTTTCCAAGGGATAATATCAACTATTAACCTAGGAGAAGTTAATGAGTTTGTTGGTCAGGAGTCGTACCTGGGCCCCATGCAAGGTTGGCGAACATTTTACAATTGAATCACTGATGTATAACCAATACTTTTTTAAATTATAGCTTGATTCCACACAGTATTTTAGCACAATTATGGAATTTTTAGCATGTGATATTGGTAGCCCAAATTTAGCAGGTCGACCATTGATTTCAGGTGTGCGTCAGCCGGGAATCAAACCCCGGACCATGTGCATGGTCGGCGAGAGTTGTAATCATTGTGGCATCCATTACACTTCTGTTTTGTCGAATCGATAAACAAAGCTTCAGTGAATGGCCTCTCTCTCCACCTAACTATATTACTTTGTAATACTCTCAACCTGTCCCAAGTGAAATCGGAGTGACGCAACGCCCATACTCTAAATATGGAAAGTAGCAATAAACAACAAAGGGAATTTGGAGAGGCAGAAAGAGAGAAAGCGTAAATGTGATATATTGTGAAGCCGTGTGATTAAATTGATATGATTATGACTGGCAATAATTTATGCAGGAAACCTTGTCATCCAGTTGTTAATACTGCATCACTGTGTGATTAAATAAAATAAACGTACCTTATATGGAATTACATTCCACCACAGCGCCGAAGTTCTACTCTTACATTAATGATCTTTAATGTGTAAGCAATAATTATAACTAAGCATTCTAATTTTAGATAGATGTCGATTCCTTTGGTTTCAGAGTAAATTTCGCGATCTAAAATTATTATTTCCTTTAATTCCTAGAGGAACATAGGGTTTCAGCGGCGCCTCTCAATTGCGTTCGGTTCTCTGCTAGAGTTTTCACCTGGCTCCATGTCTGCCCACATTCTTTCATCTTCTCCTCACATGATCTCCTCCAAGTCACCCTTGCACTGACGACCAACTCGCCGCTTTCCACTTGGGTTCCCCTCGGAAGCTAGTCTAGTAATGTCACTTGATGGTTTCCTCAGAGTATGGTCAATCTACCTCCATTTCTTCCTGCCTATCTGTTTCACAATCGGTTCCTGATTGGTTCGCTCTCAGAGATCGCTGTTGTTGATCTTTTCTGGCTGGCAATCTGATCTTGAGTATTGAGCAAAGACAGCTGTTAATGAAGGTCTGAAGTTTGTTTGAGACGCTCTTTATGACGCGCCAAGTCTCTGATCCGTACAGTAGCACTTACCTCACATTGGAGTTGAAAATCCGGATGTTATTTTTTCATACTGAGTGCTGAGTGTTGACCTCCACACAGACTTAAGGGTAATGAAAGCCTGTCTTGCTTTTCCGATTCTGGCTTTGATATCCTCATCAGTGCTCCCGCCTGTTGTTGAAACGATGCTTCTCAGGTAGGTAGGTAAAGGAGGTTCATTCTTTCAGGTTCCTCCCATTTATGCTGACTGATTGTTGTCTGCTGTTGTTGTTGCTGTTGCTACTGGCCAAGAATCTTCATCACCTCTGTTTTATCTATGTTCACCTGAAGTCCCTCCTATGTTTGATGCTTCTTCTGCCAGCTTGTTGCTTTTGACTTGCATATCTTCCAGTTTGTGGGAAATCAGACATATACCATCGGTAATCTAAAGTACGACAGATATTCACTGCTTTTGCAGTTGATTTAGTTAGGAAATTCAGTCCTTTTGCTAACTCGTACATTTTACATTCCCAAATAACTAATCTTTATTTTGAAGCTGTTCAAAATTTACCTATCATTATTAAAAACTTTATAGTTGAACAACATAAATCATATCCAGCTCAAAATAACCTTCTAGCAATAGTCAAACAGTCGAAGGTGAAATGAATAAGGCAACAAAAAACTAAGAGTTATTTTTAAATGCAAATGTCTCTTTTTCTTCAGTCAAACGCGTAAACACAACAGAGACAAACACATCGAAAATAAAGTATACAAAACCATATCCAAAAAAATAAATTAATACTATTAAGATACTTTAATAATAATTACAATAAAAGCGAACAAATAAATATTGCCAGCAACAATGAAATACTTGCAGCTGAAGCTGCAATCCCCAATAATTTTAATTCAGGCAGTATAGCATTTCCATGATGTGGATCTTTATCATGTGTAACAGTCGTCGTCGTTGTCGTAGTAGTAGTAGTCGTCGTCATCTCCTGACAAACAGAACCAACAGTCTGTACATAAATGTCATTTAACCCTTCAAATGGTATCATATCATCGAGTAGATTTGAAATGAACGGGATTATGTTACGCTGTATACTCGGTTTCAACTGAGACCAACATACAGGAAGTAATTGATCAATCAGGCTTCGAAGGTTTGAGTCAGACATTGCTTGAATCTTTTCTAGCATACTGGATCCCATATTGACAAGACTATCCAATGGTTGTAGAATAGCTTTATTCTCCTGAATTATATCTAAGTTCTTTTGAACAAATATATAACCATCATAATATTCAGTATACAGACGATTTAGCTTATTGTAAAAATTAATAAGATTTTCATTTCTAGACTGTGATATATTTTGAAGATTACGTAGAAGTATCATGAAGTAATTCTTTCCGGGGTCAACGAAATACTCTGTTATATTACCAACATGCAAACTATCGAAGGAATTCTCGAGTTTCAAGGTCACCTTTGTTTGCTCATAGATCTCTTTTAGGTTAATAGATGGAATTTTTGATTTCAAATTAGAGCTACTCAATTTTTTTATAACCTCTTTATCCCAGACTCTTTTTAACATTGAACCAGTGTATTCAGAGTTCAGTGCAGCGGTGAAATTAAACGGTCGATTAATCCGTAAACTTCGTAATAATGGTAAATGTCCTCGGACATATTCTGAATTTAGTGTTTTTAAAATATTCTGTGGTATTTGTAAATTTATATTATCAATTAATAAAAAGTTATGTATTTGTTTTATACTGTAAATCAATGTTTTCAAATAACTTGTAATTAATTCATCAGCTTTGGTTTGTGCTAAATTATTAGGCGTTAGATATGTACAACCTTCTTCTGTACTTATAACAGAAAGATATACACACGATAGACTAAATATAATAAATAAAAGAATTATCAGAGAAACTGTACACACTGTGAGTCGTAAACATACTGATCGATTCGGATGCATTTCAAGGCGAAAATGTTTACTGAAATAACTATTATATTGTAGCTTTTGATTTTTCATATATTGTATGCGTGAGATGAGTACATGAATATACAAAGTAAGCGTAATCATACACAACACAATAAGCATGATAAAAAATACAGTCATTCCAATACTAATGTAACGTAAAAGCTGGTTCAATGTTTCAATAGATTTACTCGGTGGATATTCTCTAGCATAGGCTGAAATCTTTTGATTAGTTTCAATAATTTTTGGTTTTAAATACATTTCAAACAAAAAGTTAACACCATTACTAGATAAATTATTAACTACTGGTAACCAATTGTTTATCAGATGTTCAATATTCAATGCTTGCGGTATCAAATCATAGATTAAAACAGATGATACACTGTTCAATGGTAAAGTTACCGGAAGATGTGTACAATAGTTTATTAATTCTAATAAAAACTCATCAATGTCTTTGCATGATTTGAAGTCAACAAGTTGTGAAACAGTTGAACTGTTACACAAAGTATTTTTAGTTTCCTGTATGACAGGTGAAGTGTTCCACCAATTTGAGGATATTAGTGATGTTGAGCTCGTATTATTACTATTGATTTTTTCATTATATACATTTGAAGAGGTGAATTGAAAGTTAAAAGGTGATAAACTCTGTCGATATTCATACCATGAGCGTTCAATTCTTCTAATCATTTCATTATTCATTGATCTAGCCACATTGTTTAAATTTACATATTTTTGAAAAACTGAATCAAAACTATTTAGCGTCATATATGATTTTATTTCAATCGCTTTTAATAACTGAATTAAAGTTAAATTCTTTTCTTGATTTTCTTGTCTTCTTGGCAATAAATTTAAACCGGCCACATTAATACTACTTGCATCACATAAATCAGTAGTTAAACAAGTAGTTAATTCAGCTATAAAATATTTAATACTTTGAACAAATTGACTTAATCGACTTTTATCAGGTGGGTGACGTAATGCATCATTATGGATATGAGTGGTTGTTAGAGTATAAGCATTATTTATAGCATATTGAATAAATTCTCCAATATGTAAGCAAATTAATTTCAAATCTGATGGAAGACTATTAATTTGTTGTAGTAAAGTTTGTTCATTTCTTATTAACACTATACAACTGGCCAAGAATCCAATAAAACACATAACAAACAGAGCAGAATAGACAGATAAATGAATTAAATATTTTCTATGAAATTTAGACAATTCTAATCTGTAGGTTTTATCTGATAAACTTTTATTATTATTAGAGATATCCCTGGATTCTGTATATTGTTGATGCGTTCTGTTACTGTACTGTTGTGTACTCAACATTTCTTCAGAGACTGACATCTTTCCTTGTGAAATGTGTTCAGATATATGATTACTATTAATACTATTATTATTATCACCATCGTTATTTTCAAATTGCTGATAATGCCGCCTTGTGTTGTTTATTTTATTGTATTGACTATTTAACAGTGACATGTCATCATCCCATTCTAAAGTATCATTAAAACAAAAATACTCACTTTCTGTAGTTTTGTAATTTGGTTTATATGATTTATATGATTCATTTCTGTCAATTAATTCTATTGTATTGGAATGATGATGTAATGTTTCAGATGACTTTTTATCATTGTTGCTCAATGCTGACTTCTCAGTACAACGAATAAATATTACTTTTATAATTGTCAGTATACTGAATATACAGGATATGATGAGTAGGCTGATGAGTAGTTGAACTTCTTGCTTTTCGACACTATCTTGTAAAAGATCAATTATCCAAGTTTTATTTTCAAATGGAATAAATCTAAATATGCCTCCATTGTAATTTATTGAATCAACCATTCTTATGTTTAGAAATATTTTGAATATCTGCGGAGAATAAAGACTATGAACAAACAAAAGAGGAAGACTTTGCAGGTTTTGTACATTGTGATGAATGATAAATAAAGGTGTATTTGAAAAATGAATTATAACAGGATCTCAACCACCAACCCATAGAATTACTAGACTGCTTCTCCAAGAAATAATGTGAAATTTTCAAGTAATTGTGACTTAGTGGTCTACTAGTTTGCTAGGCTTGTAACCACAAGGTCCTGGGTTCCAACCCTGGTGGTGGGTGCGTACTGATGACGAGTCTCAAACTAGACATACAAAACAGCTGTCCAATACTGCTTGGTGGTTCTTCAATGGTTCTCTAAATGATGTCAGCACAAGATGAAACCCTACAACGAAATAATGTAAAACATCGAGCGGTCAGCCGAGTCTTTAGAACTCTACAACCATCAGGGTTTGTTGTAAGAATAAGTGATATGCAAACGTGCCCTTGACATCATCTTTACACTAAGTTTTAAGGTATCTTATCAGTTTGGTTTCGTAAATTAGTCAAATAGTAATGAGTATGGCATTTATTCAAATTTTACTGCCATCCATATTTCACTTCACCAATATACTGATAATGATTCTGTCATTTCAGAGTTACCACAGAAATAGTCTTGCTGATACTAGATAGTATACTTGTGGTGTGTGTTACTGATAATATTTATTAGTAGTATATAAAGAAGTGTTCATCAGCATAAAAATAATAAACAGCAGGGAGATAATTTTGTTGTCAGAGAAAGCAAATGTTAGAGCGTTGCGGAGATACATTGGACACGTGAAGGAAATACAAAGAAACCCGATATGAAGTCCAGAATTAGCACAACACGGAAGGTTTGTGCAAATGGTGCGGTGAAGATAAGGTGTACATAATTTTGCTATTTCGAGGTACATATACTCTTAGAGGACACTGAAGAATCGAGAAGCGGTGAAAGTGCAAACGCTGTATATTCAAGCATGTCCGTAACTCTGATTCAGTCAATAACCAGTTACTGAATTTTTATTAACGGAGGAAAGTTGGTTGTGCGCAGGAAATTAAAGGGCATAAACTCATATTTAAAAAACTACACAAAGTGAAATTTAGTAATGTTCGACTTATAAAATCATCAGCTAATTATTAAGTTACCGACATTCGAAACGACAATGTCAGCGTCAGTCACACAGCCTAATATGATAAACTCCTGAACGTCAAAATACCTGAACACTCTTACATATATGCATTATCTATTTGTAATGAATATGGATAAAACAAGAACAGGAATATTAGCGATTTAAAAAAATATCGTTTTGTTTTTCATTCATCGGGAAATATAATTTTAAAAAAAGAGTTCATTTACATTTCCGTGAGTTTCTTCTACTAACGACTGGAAAATATAAAGACTGTTATCAATTTTATACTATTCACAGCTTGGGATGAGTATTTGGATACGGCTTATATCAACCATTTGTGATCACCAACTAAATGGAAGTAATCTAAACACGGGATGGCCGTCTCTTCGACTTGCAGTCGTGCTCATCATTCGTGAACTTATTGGCGAGTCGCGAACTTGATTGTCATTTTTCAAGTTTTGTGATTTAACATTGACGTATCTGACCAAGACTAATCAGCCTCATTTCAGCAAGTGCATCCTTTAAACGGATATATTTATATTACAAGGAATAATAACTGAAAGTTACCCTTGACTGTTGTGCCACAGTAGCCTAGTAGTTACCATATTGGAGTTTGGAGAGATGTGTAGTGGGTCGAAGTCTCAGTCGGAACACCACAACTCATGAGGCAACAGGTACATCCAGATAGCGAGTCCAAAATACATTTAGGCATGCTCCATAGGTTCTACTGCTAAGTATCAACAAACAAATAACCTCCAATTATCAAGATTATTGCAAGTATATGCGATCACATAGCACATTTTCATTATATTAAAATAAGAGGCGTTCATTCGAGTTAATGAAATGTTTACAGCTTCTCTATGTTCCGAGTGAAACATAAGGCCTCAGGTCTTGAACGATGAGTAGAGATGTTGTATTTACGCCTGGATTTTTCAGCTTTATATCCAACCTAACCTCTTTTCAGATGTACTACTGGCTAGTCGAGGTTAGCGAGTCAGTTGGTCAAGAATCCAACCCCAACCATGTGCCTTGTTAGCGAGCATGCTGCCAGTGAATCATGCATATATCAATGCAGTATAGCTAATACTGAAACTAATAAACAAACAGAGTTTATCTGTACCTGACTGAATACACAATTAGAGTCGGAAAGAGAAGCATGTAGCTAAATCAACAGGGCACATATATGTGTTATTGGATAACTTCTAAGAAATTAGTATGTATTCCTGTAACGCCTTCCTCTGAGTTCTTAACATATGTAAATAAAGGATGCGAACATATAAGGTGAACTGAACTTTAGTCTTCAACGACTGCCTGATCTCACTAGACTTTTTATGTAGAATCAGCATCACCACCGTTCCTTTATTTTCCTTTCACCAGTAAACTCTTTGGTTTATTTTTTTATTTTTGATTACTGCTTGATTCCACACCGTATTTTTTGGTACAAGTATGGAATTTTCAGCGTGGATATCGGTAGCCCAAATTTCGCAGCCCTATCAAAGATATCAGGTGTGCGTCTTCGTGGGCTCGAACCCCGGACCATGTGCATGGTCAGTGAGAGTCTTAACCAATGTTCCACCGGTGCACACATATTATTATTGTTATTGTATCCTTTAGTTCCTAAAGGAACATAGGGCTTCAGCTGCGCACCTCCATTGCCTTCTGTTTTCTGACAACTATTTCACCCCGCTCCAGGTCTGTCCACATGCTTTCATCTCCTTCTCGCATGACGTCCTCCAAGTCACCCTTGCATTGACGACCAACTCGCCGCCTCCCTTTCGGGTTCCACTCGAGCAATGGCTTGTCTAGTGATGTCACTTGATGGCTCGTTTTCTCAGAGTATGGCCAATCTACCTCCATTTCTTCCTGCCTATTTGTTTCACAATCGGTTTCTGATTGGTTAGCTCTCAGAGATCGCTGTTGTTGATCTTTTCTGGCTGGCCATCTAATCTTGAGTATTGAGCGAAGACAGCTAGCTGTTGATGAAGGTCTGAAGTTTGTTTGAGGTGCTCTTTATGACGCGCCAAGTCTCTGATCCGTATAGTGAGTAGCACTGACTTCACATTGGAGTTGAAAATCCGGATGTTATTTTTTCATACTGAGTGCTGAGTGTTGACCTCCACACAGACTTAAGGGTAATGAAAGCCTGCCTTGCTTTTCCGATTCTGGCTATGATATCCTCATCAGTGCTCCCGCCTGTTGTTGAAACGATGCTTCCCAGGTAGGGGAAGGAGGCTGTTTCTTTCAGGTTCCTCCCATTTATGCTGGCTGATTGTTGTCTGTTGTTGTTGCTGTTTGTGTTGGCCAGGAATCTTCATCACCTCTGTTTTACCTCTGTTCACCTGAAGTCCTATCTTCTATGGATGCATCTTCTGCCAGCTTGTTGCTTTTGACTTGCATATCTTCCAGTTTGTGGGAAATCAGACATATATCATCCGCGAAATCCAGATCCTCCTAGTCTTTTGTGTCAGTCCATTTTATGCCTGTTCCCTCGTTGGTTGCCGTTGTCTGTCGCATTATCCAGTCAATTGCAATCAGGAAGATCATTGGTGATAGTAGACAGCCTTGTCTCACTCCCGTCCTCACTTCGAAGGCTTTCGTAAGTTTCCCGTTGTGGATTACTTGGCATGCAGAATTGTCGTATAACTGTTGAATGAGATGTATAATTGTCGATGGGACCCCCTTGTAGTAGCGAAGTAGTTACCAAATCACCTCACGATCGACGCTGTCAGCTGAAGGCCTTTTCAAAGTCGATGAAGTTGTGTGAGGTGGGGGGGGTGACTGCCATTCCAAGTTTTGTTCAATGATGATCCGTAGAGTGGCGATTTGATCAATACATGATTTGTTTCTCCTGAATCCGGTCTGTTGCGGTCGAAGTTTCTCACCTACCGCTTGTTTGATTCTCTCCAGGATGATGCGACTTAGTATCTTGCTTGGAATTGACAGGAGCTTAATTCCACGCCGGTTTTTACATTGACTTAAGTCTCCTTTCTTTGGAAGTTTGAATATATGTATATATATCACAAAATTGTAGAGCTGACGATATTCTGCAAAAATAGTTTGACATAATTATCAACTGTCGTGTTGTCAGCTGTATAGTTTCTGCTAACATCCTCTTAAAAATTAAGTTCGTATTTAGAAATCGTTTTTGAATCATGCTTAGTGTCAAGTTGGATCAGGTTTCAACTCTGACAATTATTCCTGCCTTTTGGTTCAAGCTGTCTTACAGTAGAATGAAAAGTATAAATAGATTTGAAAACGAGAGGATAAATGGTTCATCAGACTGCCTAAATCTAGTAGAGTTACATACTGCAAACCAATCTCGTGTATTAAAAATTTTTTGTTAAAGTAACCAAAGTGTTTTACGCAAAAAATAACCCTTACAAACCAAACTGTAAAAAATTAATCTTATACTCGCTAGTGACTTGCTACAAGATGTAGTTTCCTGGATTTCTAGTGAGAAGTCGTAACCAGTGAGGTTCATTCAGATGTCACGTGTGAGGATGGATGTCCCATCAACGACAATGGTTGAGGTCGCGCTAAATCATGAATTGGTGGAAGTTAGAATTCATGAACTGGCGACTGGATCGGTTCCCAGAGGCTGGATGGTATACGAGCTTGCCTTGTAACCGGAAGGTCCTGAGTCCTTGTTATAACTGCAGGGAATTAGATGAGGACGTTGTCGCCTTGTTCTGTCTGCGCCTTACTAATATGCCTATCTGCTTGTGGTACCTGCCGATTCAGTGAACCACACAAATATCAAAAGACAAAGGCTGGTCTATTACTGTATATTGTAGTGCAACAACTACGACAAAGAACTTATTTAGGAAAACAACACATGGTATTTATACATTTTTACAACAATACAGACATCTAACAGCATTTGAAATAATTGATCGTAATAATCAATAACAAAGTGGGTGGGAAATGATGATATACCATTTATGCGAGATTAACAGTCCTAACC